TGGGGATCCTGGATCACATTCCACGTGCAATCCAACGATAATGAATTAGAGCAAAGTGTGAGGTCTAATCTACTTCCATTTGAGGATGGACCAGCCAGACGTGTTACTTCTCCATTGTTAAGAATTGTCATATTGAAGTTATCACAGAGGTCATATATCAAAGTAGAACGGTTGTCATCATACAGTTCCCCCCAGCCTGTACCGTGGGAATTCAAATCTCCCATAATCAACCGTGGAGCAGGAAGTACCGAACAGATATCTGAAAGTTGTTTGCGATTAACAACGGCTCTAGGAGGAATATAAACAGAAGCAATACAAAGGCTCTTACCTTTAATAATAGCCTGACATGCAACAACTTCAATACCTGGAAATTGTGGAAGATTCACTCTATAGAAGGAATGGCACTTTTTGATCCCCAAAAGTACTCCTCCTCCACGCGAATCCTCACGATCCAGTCGAATAATGTTAAAATCATGAAAAGGAAGATCGATATCTGAAGAGAGCCAAGTTTCACATAGAGCAAATGCATCACAATCATTATTATGAACCAAAAACTTAAACGATTCTATCTTAGGAATAAGACTTCGACAATTCCACTGTAGAACAGTGATCAAATCCCCGACCTCGTTTGGAAAATTATCCATCGAAGGAGATGATTGCTGCAAGGAGGGGCCACTTCAATGTCAACTGCTTCAAGAGGGTTTTCACAGTAGGAAGCATTGCCAGAACAATGCTTTTCAGAGGATCAGAAATATCGAGGTAATTGAGGATACTGTCCACAATGTTATCAAATGAGAACAACCCAGATGAAGAAGGGGCTTGTGTTCTGAAAATTGGGGCATCGGGGGTTTTGGATGTCCCCGGGAGAGGTGGAAAATCCTGGGTATAATCAGTTCTGCGGAATCCAGGAGGAGTAGAAGTCTCCTTTTTTCCACCACTCCTTGATTTGGGCAAGCTGATTTGGGGTTCTTGATCTGCAACTTTCCGCGAACGGATGCGTTTTCGTTTCCGGGCAGAACCTTCCGGAAAACTGAAAGAAACTCCCTCCTCAGCCAAGTCAGAGCCAGACTCGTCATCTGACAAAAGAGCGAAGGGATTTGTTTCGTTGGTCGATGGCTTGGCTGTCTTAAGCATTTCTGCAAAAGACCGCCTGGAACGTTCTTTAAGAGAGCGCTCTAGTTTTTCCCCGCGTTGTTTGTACACCGGGCATGACGAGAGACCATGAGGAGTTCCCTTACAGTACACGCATTTTGGTGCAGTGACTGTGCAGGCGCCATCCTCGTGCTTCTCCCCGCATTTGGAACAGCGTGCCTTGCTGCCACAGTGGGACGCCGTATGTCCCAACTGCTTACAGTTTTGGCAGTTCATGACCCGGGGAACGAACAAGCGCACAGGTAGTCGAAGTTTTCCCAGCTCGATGTAGTGAGGAAGGGCTGAACCAGAAAAGGTCACACGGAACGAGTCTGTGGGGGTAAAACTCTTTTTACCCTCGCTGACAGATACTGAGCCCAGTTTTTGGACATCCAGTATCTTCACCGGGGGGAGCAAGGGGTTCTTGAAACGGCCAACCGCCTGCTTCTCCAAGATCTCGGGGGTCAGACTCGCTTCGGTGACCACACCTTCGATCTCCACATCACGAGCTGGGATGTAAACTCTGTACTCGAGCGTGAAGAGCTGGAAGGCAGCAATCTCGTTAGCCTGCTTCAGGTTAGAGACGGAGACACGAAGTTTATTATGCCTAACCTTCGTGATTTCGGTCACGGCTGAGTATCGCTTCGTCAGATCAGTGGAAATTTGCATCAAGTTCAAAGGTTTGTTTTTGGGCTGAAAGTAGACAACCCATGGCCCAGTCGAGTCATCTGGATAGGCTCGCGATCGGGGGCTTTTCTGAGACGAACCATGAATGACAGGACGTTTTCGTCTTTTCTTGCCATCGAGTGGCAAACTGGTGTCATCTTCCGACAAAATGTCCATATCGTCTTCTGACGAGACGTCCATTTTGCCGTACTAGTGGGAGCGGTAAACGCTCTACCACTGAAACGATGCTTAAAACCACACAGACACAATAAACAGAAAAAAACTACAAACACAGAAACACAAAATTAAATTTAACTGATGGGCGAGAGAAAGAAAGAAACAGGAAAAAAAAACTTATCTGCTATACTACTACCACCGAGTGATTACACAGCAGCAGCGGAGCGACGCGCAGCGTGGGTGACCTTCGATGCGCGTGTGCGGGCGATCTTTGTAGTGGTGTGCTTGTATGAGGCTCGGCACTCAGCTGGACACACGATGATGGATGACCGGTATAAATGCCGAGGCAGATGCTGACACTCGATGACGATGATCTGTGTGCAGGTATGCGTGATCACGCACCGATGAAGCGCAAATTGGTTTGCGAATATGCAATTGCAAGTGAACAATTTTCTTTCCGATGGCGCCGAAAACCACTTTCTTCTCAGAAAAACTCACTTTCAGATAATTGTTTAGCCGGGTACTATGCCAGTAATCACTAAGCGAGAAAAAACTGATAATTTAAACCAACCGAATACCGAGAAAACTTCCGAAATACCGGAGCGCGAAACAAGTCGACTGTACTTCTTGCTAGGTCGCAGTGGGATGTGCTCTTAAGATCTGAAATTCCCCAAAGATCTTTAGATCTAGCTTTTCTGAGGTACTTAAAACTTCTTAAAAATTTACACAATACCCCTCATGTTTTCTACATTTTTCAAGTTCGCTTGACACCTGTGAAGTTCTCTGAAATTCTAGGAACTTAATAAAAGTTTCTGGAAATTTTAGGATGCTAAAAGAACCACTTTGAGGTTTTTAAAATTTCCAGTACGTTCCCATATTTTCAGCGTATTAACTTCCCATATGTTCCCGCAGTTTGTTTATGGAGCTTCACTGAAATTCTCAGCATTTCTTTTCATTACTCAAAACTTCTCCAAAGTTCTAAATAATGATTGCGAAGTTAATGGGACTGCATTGAAGATCTCTAATCTTTCATAAAACTAATTACGAACTTGAAATAAATCATTTATTTTTTCCTTGATTCTGGCGCTTTTAAAAATTTCAATATCTTGTACTTGTACATGGAATGCGAAACTTCAAGATATTGAATAATTTTAGATCTTGGACTTACTCAAATTAAGTAAGTTTTTTTTTTACTTTTTAAAGTGAAAAATTAAGTAAGTGTTAAACTTCAACATTCAATGGATTTGATTGAAAAGCTGTTTCTTTAAAACTGATTGCCATGTCTTAAAAACGTTTGGGTAAATTGCTATTGTTTTGATCTAGAAAAAAGCATATTTAACCGCATTTAAAAAAAAGATTTCTTATTATAAGCCTGATCCTTTAAAGTTCTGGAAAACTCAGGTCATTTTATTTAGAAAGATGAGTAGACACCCTTTAGATAGAGAAAGACGATTAAACATCACAAAGCAAGGAATGATCAATCTTAAAATAAATTCACGCTAAAAATAGTTAAAAATAGTGACTGATTACAAGAAAAATAGACTTTTTAGTGACTGGCTTGAAAAAAGTGACCAAGTCACTAAAAAGTGACTCGCTACCAGCCCTGATACCTCAATATAACGTAACTGTCACTTTTGACGCAGTTTTGAAAAAAAAATAGATTTTTTATGTAAAATTGAAAGCCCCGGGTGGCGATCTTGCTCCGTCCTGCCCTATTTATCCTTTTTTGTTTGCTGATCCTTTTTTTTACGACAGGAGAATTTCAGTCTAATTCCCAAACTAATTTTATATAGAGGAAATGGATGTAATGTCGACCTAAATGCCCCTAATTTGGGCCCATACATAAATTCAGCAATTGACTAAATTTTCAATAGCGACCAAAAATATCCATTAGTACCGTCCCAATGACGCGTTCATCTAGATAAAATTGATGAATAGCAGATTTTTAGCGATGGGCCCAATCTTAGATCCATAGGCCAACATTAGAGCCATTTCCCCTACTGCATAACAAATGATTCACAGAAGACACAATTTTAGGGATCAGGGCAGGTCCCGAATTCGAAACAGAGCACACTGACACAAATTTCTCTATCCATCACTCCCACTCATTTTAAACCGCTATTGGCTTTTATATTTGATTTTAAAATAAAAATACGAACTGATTTTGCATCATGGTAAGGTTTTGAGTCACTTTGCATTTCAGCCTAAATATAAGAATACATACATTTCGGGAATAAAAACTCCAGCACATTCAATGCCTCTTCAACAACATTTACTAAGCTTACTATTGAACAATATTCCAGCCATCATGCAACGTTACTGATACAGCGTTACAGCTCAATGAGCCAACAATGACGACTGTTGTCAACAAATGTTACCATTGATTCTAAAAAAAAAAAAACAACAACTAGAAACAGTTTCACGAAGCGCATAAATCGACACCGGAAATCTTCCAGGCGATCCCCTATCTTCGCGCATTGTTTTCATCCTTCCCAACCAAAGCTCATAGCGCAAAACTGAACAACATTTCCAAGTTGGTCGTTCTCCTTTTGAAACCGGGTTTCTTTTGAACCAAGACGAAGGACTGGCGGGATGGGACAACTGTTTTGATAAGATAAAGCGCAGCAGGAAAATATTATGACAGATATGAATTAAGCGCTACTTGCGAAAGGAACGCGATGACGAAGGTTGGGGGAAGAAAGGTTGCTAGCTGCACCTGTGGGAATATTTTTTCTCCTATTTCACAGTGCTACGGATGCGATGAACCACACGAAAACACATTTTCTTATTTATGCGCTTCTTTTCCGAGTTCCGAGAAAGTGGAAGAAAAATTGAACCAGTTGAACGTTGAGTCCTCCACAAATAGGAGATAAAAGAGCATCACCAGGAAAAGTCTATTCCAGTGTTTTTTTTTCCCCCCCGTTTCCGCTAAGAAGAATTAGAAAACCGGTGGGTGGGTGGAACTGCGAGCAGTTGGAGTGACAAAAAGAAACGAAACGGGAAAAAAAAACTTCACTTCCACTTACCTTAACCAGTGACGTTTTGTGACAGACGTGTGACAGCACACTGCGTCGTATTGATCGGCGAACCAAACCACCAGGATAATGTAGAACGCGGTCGATGTGTCGTTGAAGAACTCCGACATGATGGCCTCCATTCCTGGAACGAGTGAAAAATAAAAATATACCATGAGCAGAGATGACAAAGCTGTAAATGGCTTGAAATGGGCGGGGGGAAAGGGAGCGTGAGTGCGGGACAAGATTAATCATATGTCGAAACGGTTTAATGGCAAAATGCGACATGCGATGACCCGTGGCCCATGACCAAAGGCTGCGTAAAAAATGAGGATAATGGACTTAGCTTTTGGTGGTTTGGTGCCGTTATCCCCGTTAGGTTTTTTTTTTTTATTTTCAAGTTGACTGCACACGGTGCCAAAGTAAATTGAATCAACGCGAAAAAAAAGTCAGAGGTGGGCCAATGTGTTGCCGAAGCTTAATTTAATTGATGAAACGCAAGTGGTAATGTCGGAAATCAAATTTGAAATCCACCATTTCCGGCAGTGATACATCATACTGAATGACGGTTACCTGGTCAGTTTATTTTTTTATTTTTGTATATAAAGCTCTGAAATTCAACATTTCTTTTATAAAACTAGATTTTCCGAAATATGTCTGAAACTGTTCAAGATTCGTCTCTATTTTTCTTAACATGAACACATCACGTTAATTCAGCGTACCGTTTACCAAAACGAGCCTTGCTGCAAACCCACCCCTTTTATTCAATATACCAGTAATTTCTCGTGGAAATGCAGAGGATTTCTATGCTTCCAACAAAGTGAGTATCACGTCAACACATTCCTGCAAATTCCTTAATTGACCTGCATTCGGACGCGGATGGCGCTGGTTTTTCCCATTATAAAGTTTGAGATCACCCATTTTTACACATTGAGGATGATAGCTAGACCCAAGCATCATCTGTTGGTTCACTGTGTAATTAACAGGTGACCTGGCAATAATGGAGTAACAACTGCGGGCGGTCAATCATGCCTATGATCATGCGCATATAAACTACAGCCATCTGTCATAATCAAGATATCCGTTGTAAAATGTGTAAGAAACCTAATCCTTTATCAATAGTTGAAAAATACGTAAAGATTGATTTTATAAATTTTTATACTGTTCATTATCTACGATTCAAACTTGTTCATGTTAAATGGGTTAATGAACATCAAGAAATATATGTTACTCATGACTTTTTTGACTTTAAATGATCTTTATTTCTTGTATTTGTGTGATTTACATGCATTACTTATCAAGTGACACAAATGCGTCTTTTCAACTTTGGTTCTTTTGAAATTTCAATTATTATTAATTACAGTTGCTAGTCCTATAAGGCCTGTTTTAAGCAGACCACCTTGGTGGGATTGGTTTGTTTTAAATTTGAAAAAGGAGACTACTTATAACTACAACTAACCTACAACTATTATATAGGTACACCTGATCTACTATATACAAATTGCTTATCAAAGCATGTTCTGATATATTACATTTTTGTGCAAATTTAGTCTTAATTTCGTTAATTCTGGAATCTATTTTGACAATGCTTACCTCTTCGTGTAAATTTGTTATTCGAAAGGACGATCAAGTACCATCCTCAGCACTCTATTCTGAGTGACCTAGATTTTGTTCCTGTGAGTCTGTGCACATGATTCCCACACCGGAGCTGCGTAGAGGATCGCAGGTGCTATGATTTGTTTGTAGACGGCCAGTTTGTTCACCCTTGAGAGGCGGGATCTGCGGCAAATCAGTGGATACAGACACCTAACTTGACTACAGTTTTCTCTACATGCGAACGGAAGAGGAGCTTTTCATCGAACAACATCCCGAGACAGGTTACTTCGGCAGACCACTCAACCCTTGTGCCATTCATGATTACAGTATAAGATGGAGCCGGTTTCAGTTTTGGCGATTGCCGATGAAGGAACATGATCGCTTGTGTTTTGGAAGGATTGATTTTAATTTTCCACGTGGTGGCATAATCAGCAAAGGCGTTAAGGCATCGTTGAAGTTTGTTCGTTATTTCGCGAGGCATCCTTCCTTTGACGGCTATTGCGGTATCATCTGCGAACAGGAAGAACACGCATCCGTCTCCGAGAGGAGGAATATCGGAAGTGTAAATGCTGTAAAGCAAGGGGCCAGCAAACTGCCTTGAGGGACTCCTGCTGGGATGGAAAACGTGTTTGAAAGGCAACCATTCCACGATACCTTAAACGACCTTTGCTGGAGGTAGTTATGGGTGATTTTAACCAGATGTAATGGGGAGTTGAAATTACAAAGCTTGTACACAAGTCCGTCATACCAAACATTGTCAAACGCCTTTTCAACGTCTAACTAGGCCATGGCTGTGGACTTGGATACATTTGTTACTTCGGATGTTATTCATCACCCGTACTAGCTAGGCCTCCCTTAGCTCAGTCGGTAAAGGCGCAGCTACAAAGCAAGACCATGCTGGAGGTGGCTGGGTTCAATTCCCGGTCCGGCCTAGGAATTTTTCGGGTTGGAAAATTTCTCGACTTCCCTGGGCATAGAAGTATGATTGGACTTGCCACACAATTATACCAATGCAAAAATGGTACAGGCATCGAAAGCTCTCAATTAATAACTGTGGAAGTGCATCTAGAACACTAAGTTGAGAGCACGCAATAAGCTAATATGCGATATGCAATAAGCTTGAAATGCGAAGAAGAAGAAGAAGACTAGCTAGTGATTGGTGGAGTGCCCCTTTCTGAACCCGAACTGTTTCGGAAGGAGAATGTTATTTACCTCGAAAAACTTGAGCAAACGATTGAGAATGAGTTTCTCGAACAATTTGCCCAGCGCTGAAAGGAGGCTGATTGGTCTGTAGTTTGAAGGAAATGTTGGATCCTTACTGGGCTTGCGGATTGGTATGATTTTTGTTACTTTCTAGATGCTTGGAAAGTAGTGCAGTTACAAGCATCTGTTGAAGATAGCGGTTAGAAGAGACTGCACTTTCATGCTGAGTCTCTTCAAGATCATGTTGAATATACCGTCAAACCCGGGAGCCTTCATGTTCTTGGTACATTTCAGCGCTGAGCAAATTTGTTGTACTGTAATCATATCCGCCGGAGGCACGACCAAGGGGAGACATCTAGGTTTTGAACGCATCAATCATCGAGCGGACTTTGGATAGCCGAGCCAAGCAAATGCGATGAAGCGACATACTCGTCGATCGCATTTGCTTTCTCCTGTGGGGTGATTAAAAGCCGATCGTCATCATTTTCGACTCTGAGAGGTGGAATGGATTTGGGATGAGTTTTAAGGACCTTGGCTACCTTTCAGAATGGTCTGGAGCGGTCATCCAGATTCTGGACAACACGCCCGGAGTGAGTCCATTCTGGAAGTAATTTGCCCAGATCTCCACTTCTCTGAAACTGGCGTCTACGAACATTTCTCAACCGAATCAGTAATTGGGTGTGGGAATCAATAGCAAGATATATGTGTTACTCTAAAGCAGAGCCAGTAGTGGAGGTACTAAGCCATTTTATTAATTAAACAATAAATATACGATGTACACACAATTGTTATACGTCAATCTATAGCTTTCAACCTCTATTTTGATAGAAAAATATTACAGTGTAGTAAAATTACAAACAATTTTAGAAAACTCATCCTTCATTAAAAGGAACACTCTTCCAGTAGTTGTGATAGTTGCTAACTTTGGAATGCGTTGGTTCCACTATTATAGGAACACTACCGAAACTATAGGTGCAAAGGAGTGAAAATCTTAAGGAATATTAATGATTTTCCGTAATTTTGGGCTAATTTAAAGTTTGAAATATGCAAATATGCTTTATTTTAGGACAGCTACCGATGAAAAATAATCTTATCCGGGTCCTTCTCACTATTCCGGCACAACCTCCATACCGCAACTATAGGTACACAACTATTACTGGAACACCTACCCTATAACCCATTTCAGATGAATAGCGTTTGTTTTGAAAATCTTCACCGTCACGTACGAGCAAAATGAACAAATGAGATCATTATACATCAACGATTACGCGTTTGTTGACACTGGTGAAGTGCTTATCCAACCCAAAATCAGAATCGATCCTCAAAAACAAAATAATCAAATTCATGTTGGGCAAAATCAGTGCTGTCAACCAGGCATGGAAAATCATTTGCATTCATTTCGTGCATTCATTTACATTCATTTGCCTCTAACTGTTTTTCATCAACAGCATTCCGCAAAATGATGTATAAAGCTTTTGTACGTTTAGTTATTAGCTACAACTTTTGTCATTAAGTCAAATCCGTATCTCTAATGCATGACAAGCCAGAGCGAACAGAAGCCACTACTGTTTTTCAGTGAATGTATTTTACATTCACTGAAAAACAGTAATAAGTTCTGCCCGCTCTAGTTGGTGATGCATAGGTGATACAGATTTTAGATATGAGCAAAAGTTGTAGTTAATAACAAAACCTACAAAAGCTCTATACATCATTTTGCGGAATGCTGTTGATGAAAAACAGTTAGAGGCAAATGAATGTAAATGAATGCACGAAATGAAAAAAAGTTAGAGGCAAATGAATGTAAATGAATGTAAATGATTTTCCATGCCTGCTGTCGACATAAGCAGACCACGCTCAATGTTTGTCACGCGATCGTTTGTTTACTCGGCAGCAACCACGTTTTGCGTCCATTGCTGCAATGAAAGCGCTCTGCCCCCCGTTGGATATACTGCCATACAATGAAACCACTGAAAGCGGCTCCCGTTCTGATGGAGGAGGCTTATTGGATAGCGGAAGATAAAGTGTTTATTGTGTTGTACCTTTTGACTATAGTTTCAAGATGTATTGTATAGTGAACAAGAATCCTCGGCGAATCGAATTGACATTGACAACAACACAGGTGATGATGAACATCCAACCACGAATGAACAAAAACAAATGTTGATCTTGATACTCAGAGGTTGCCTTGATCAAGAAAATGTTGTTATGTCAAAATTCAAATTCATGCAGGTTGTTGGTCTACCTGTTAAGGTTGTCTTCATCTTTAGCTAAGTTGAGTGTTGAAGAAATTATTGTTATCAGCACTACTCTAAAGTTAAGCGATTTGTTAAAATTTCACAAGGCTCA